AGGAGTTAGGCAGATGTAAGGAGCAAAAGAAATAGAAGCTCCCACCTTTGCTAAAAGATCCCTCCACAGAAAGGGCACAGGACAAGTCGGTATAACCAAAAAAAGGAATGAGTGAGGGGAATTCCTCTGAAAATGCAAATGAGTGGTGGAGTCTGATGAGTTAGGTAAGGCTGTCCCCCATCACAACAATAGGGAGATGAGAAGAAGAGGTGGGTCCCCAAAACTCCCTCAGGACTGAGTATGTGGCACTGGTGTCCAAAAGGAAGGAGATGGGTGGCCCTGATACCTTAATGTCTACTCAGGGCTCCCTGTCAGAGATGACAGCGATGGAGTCATGAGAGCCCGGGACCCTTCACTCATCATCATCGTCCATGGCCAGGGCTAGGAAGTCAGCTAGAGGGCTGTATCTGATGTCCTCCTGCCACTGACCAGTGGCCCTCTTCGTGGCATTTTGGACATGGTTTGGGAGGCACACAGGGATTAGGGCAAACCCAGGCCCAACGCCCTTCCTGACCACATTTGAAACATGGACGCTGCGGTCCTCGAGCCCTGGAGGGCAAGGGATCCTGGGTAGACTGTGAGACCAGTCAGACGGCCTTGGCTAGCATCTGGTATTTGTGCTTAAGGGCCTTGTTATCTCTCCCATGGTATACCTTGAAGGCCACTCTTAGAGCCTTTGCCTGTGGAGTTAAGGGTTTCAATTCTAGATGCTTAAGCTTAGTTCTAATGTCAGGATAGCTCTGACGAAAAAAATATGTCATAAGGAGTTGTCTTCCCTCTGTCCCCTCAGGGTCTAGGTTAGTGTACTATAGGAAGGCCTGTGTAAGGCATTCTAGGAACTGAGAGGGATTTTCCTTTTTGTCCTGAATTACATCTAGAAGCTTTTCATAGTTTATTGGTTTTAAGGCAGCCTTATGTAGATCAACCATGAGGCAGGTCGTAAACTGATCTCTAGCCAAAATTCCCCCTGGCGTATTATAGTCCCAATGGGGCTCCTAATCTGGAACAGCCTAATAGGACAGAGTTCCAGATATTTAGCATCATGGTGGGAACTTGTTTGAATGTAACAGATTATACATTGAGATGGGAATCCAAAGAGTCACTGGAGTTCTGGGAGATTTATGTTCCAAGAACAGTTTTCCTAATGACCATTTGTTTGGATTCTTTTAATGATCCCACACCTCTTAATAGTGACAGGCTGAGGAACAAGATTTCAACCCATGAAACTTTGGAGGACACACTTAGACATTATCCAAGCACTGCCGTATCATGTGAGTGAGAACAACTTTGAAAGCCACTAAACCTCATCCTGGGGTTCCCCTCCTGTGACTTCATCTAATCCCAGTTCTTAAAAGTTTCAGCTCCAACTATGTTGGCATGTGAATTGAGGACCTGAGCTGCAGATTGAGTTTTAATGGAGACAAACCCTGGAACCACAGCACTATGCAGGCCTGTATCATTCTAGGAAGTGAAATGCCTATGAACCACAACAATAAGCAGCATAGAAAGATATCCCCAATGGTGCATTAATAGCATTACTATCTTGGGGCAACCAGCAGCTATGACTTAAGCACCACTCAATAGGAGGAATTTACCCCATGGTATCTTGCTGTCACTGCTGGTACCAGTCAGTAAACCAAGAGCAATCTGATGCCATATCATGTCACTTTGAGGTCAAGACATGTATTTCTCACTGTGTCAATTGGTCACTATCTTAAAATACAATGTTCTTTTCATTTTTTCTTCCTTTCTTTATGAAAATTTGAGGTATAGTAATGTCAGTAAGTCAGGAGGCAAAAGGCAAGTTATGCAGAAACTATAGTTTGCTATAGTTGCTAGGAAAGAGAAAAAGTCATCATAGAAGATGCTTTGAGGTGTGAAGAGAACAATACAGGAGAAAATAGGCAAGGCCTCATCTAGTATGCATATGTACATGTGCACATGCGTGAGCAGGTATATGTTCATGTGTAGAAGTCACTGTCATGTGTCTCTCCCATCATTACACACCTTAGTTTGGGGGACACACCTGTGACTGAACCTGGGACTCATCGTTTTGGGTAGACTTAGTGGTCAGAGGCCCTGAGGTCTACTTATCTCTATCCCCACAACATTGGGGTTACAGGCATATGCTGTCACACTTAGCTTTTATGTGGCAGCTGAGGATCCAAACTGAGGTTCTCAGCCTTCACAGCAAACATCTTGCAGGCTGAACTATATCCCTAATTCTGTGGACAAGGACTTTTCTTGGGGTTTCTATTGGTGATAAAATCCTGATGAATTTTTAAAATTTATATAGAGTGAAATTTTTATATGGTGCTCTGGGTTTTGACAAGTTTACAAAATCATGTATCCACCACCACCACAGTTTCTTCACCCCCAGCATTCTCTGTGACACCCTTTGGAGCACCCTTAACATCACCGGTCATTTTCCATCCCATTTAATTTTGTCTTTTCTCAAATGTCCTATGAATGAACTGTGTAAAAAAAAAAAAGTAGTTGAACACTCAGCTGTTACAAAGGAACAACTTTTCCTGGAATTCATTAGTTGAGATATTACTGCAGCAGGGCTGAGAATGTAGTTCAATTTGGGGACTGCTTGATTACTTGATTAGCATTCATGAGGCTCTTAGTTAAGAGGAGAGAGGGAGGGAGAGAGAGAGAGAGAGAGCTCACATTAGGACTGAGAAACAGCTGCTGCCGGCTGCATTTGTGAATGGCCTAAGCTGATTTGCGATTCCATGGTTATGACTTTGCAAATCTATTCAGAATTTTGTGTGTGCAAAGCTCTCTGTGCTTGGTTGGACTGCAACACTGGTTAGCTGCTCTAATTGGTTGAATTCATAGAAGAATATTTGAGTTGATTAAGAGAGGTTGATATGTAAATTAATGTAAAGTCTATATAAATGATTTTCTAGTTCCACAGCTAACCACTATTCCATATTCCCCACCCCCACTTCCCTTTTGAGCGCCTAGGTTCAAGCAACCCTCTTGTCTCAGCCTCTAGAGTCCCTAGAGCCACTGGTACACATAAGCAGGCCTCGCTCTACTTGATGCCATTAGGCAGTAGGAAGTATACAGCCCAGCAGGCCACAGAGGATAGCCCCCTCCTAATCAGTTTCAGACCCCTCCTCCCTTTTCTCTAACACACTGTGAAGTTTCAAACCCCGGACAAATGGCTGAGGTGCCTATTTAATATATCAAAGCAGGCCTTCGGGCCAGTTCTCCCAGCAGCCCTCAGTGCCTGTTACAGGGTACACTTGAATGCCCTGCTTTCTACCCTGAATTCCCCTGCCCAGGGACTCAATTGCCCATCCCCTAGAGGCTCTTCCCTATATAATCCAGATATTTTGATTTTCTGTTCCCTATGTACCTTTGGCTTCCTGGCTGCTGCACCTGGTTTCCCTCTCTCCTCTCTTCCTCCCCCTTTCCCCACAAGGCCCAATTCAGTCTGGTCATGCCCACTGTGGGCTCTCTCAGTTGTCCCTGTCTCTGACTATCTCTCCCTTTTATCTACAATAAACTCTCTCCTCCACTTTACCTAGGAGCAGTCATGTCCTTTTCTCTCTCTGTCTCTCTGTGTCTCTCTCTTTGTCTCTGTCTCTCTCTGTCTCTGTCTCTCTCTCTCCATTCACACACAAGACAGGTGTTTGGAAGCTCCACCCAGCCCCTGAGAAAGACCACCCACAAGCTGTTTAAGATGCAGCCCATAGACCAGTCATGGGGCATGCTCCCTCTTGCCTTCCTGAGAATCACCTGGGAGTGCTCTGCTTTGCATTGCCCGGATCCAATACCTATCAAAAGGGAAGCATCACAATTGTCCCTCTTCAGGGATAGAATATCATATGAAAAGGAGGAAGTGGCAGTATCTGGGTTTGTTAAGGATCATTGAAGAAAAACTGCTTTCCCCTGCTCAAAAAAATGATCTCTCCCTCTGACTCCTGGTGGAGACTTTCTGTATAAAGACCTGTTTAAGGGATGGCAGGGACATGAAGAAAAAGTTCAGTGGATGGTGTTAGTTGCTGAAGCACGCGGACCTGAGTTAGGATTCCCAGTGCCCATTACTAGGGTGGGAGGGGGGAGACTGGAGGATTCTGGGGTGTACCGAATCAGTCAGTCCAGCTGACTGGGAATCTTTGGGCTCAGTGAGAGACACTGTCTCATAAATAAAGTGGAGAACAATTGGGAGAGACATTGAATGTCAGCCAACAGCCTCCACGCATGCGCATATATGAATACACCCCCCCCCACAAACCCACAAGTGAGAGAATGAACACGTGTGCACAAAGTGGCGGCACTGTGAAAGAAAGAATGTGTGAGAAGGTAATAGTGTCTCAATGGTGTTGAAGGTGGTGTGTGCTTTGTGGGAGACCCTGACAAGACAGACTTGTTTCCCAAAGCCCTGCCCTTGTTTTCTGGTCACCTTGGCAGTCTCTTACCCAGGAGCAAGCCCTTTTATTTCTTACCAACCTTGCTGCTTTAATCTAACCATTCCTTTGAACCTAAGGTCTGTTTTGACAGAAACACAGAGAAACTCATGTTTGCTTGTGGTATTCCTTATCTGCTGCAAGATACACAGCATCACTGTCGCAGGAGGGAGGGAGGTGACTGGGGAGCATCTGAGCTGCTCCTGGTGGAGAACTAACTGATTCTCCCTCACCAGCACATCACACACAACCTTAGTGCTCAGCCTCCAAGAAGAATGCCTTGTCTCAGGGGCCTTTAGCCTATGTCATCAGTCACGATAGTGGCAAGTCACATGGCACTCCAAGGTGAACATATCAGACACATGCCCTTTTCCTAAACAGGAGTTGAATTCGAGTTATATATATAGTATGTTATAGCAAATTAAGAATTAAGATTATCTATACATCCCCTTTAAATCATACCAATGAACTTACAAATTCTAAAATACATAAAGTTTCAACAAAAGCTTAAAGATAGCAAACAAATTAAGAAAAAATGGGGGGTCTCGGAGAGTTAAACAACTTGTGCTTTGTTACCTTGATGGGAAATAATTTATGTCCTTGTTGTTCTCAAGCACAAAGTGTCTTTCCTGGGCTGTTCTGTTTTTCTTCTCTTCTCCCTGTCACAGAGTCAGGACAGAGACTTTGAAGGAAATTTTTTTTAATGTTCTTGGGACTGGAACAGTCTGGGTAAATTCCATGTGAAGGCTGAATAATATTGAACTATGTGTGTGTGCACATGCCGGAAAAAGCTTTATCCATTCATCCATAGATATCTCTATGAGGTGTTGACTTTATTCACTGCTAGTATAAACCCAGACTGCCAGGTCAGCTGGCAGTTCTACTAAATTAAGAACCTTTGTACTGTTTTCTACATTGACTGCAACAACATACATTCCCACCAACAGGAAGAGGGCACCTTTTCTCCAATCCCTCTCAACACTTAGTGCCTCTTGTCTTGATAAGAACCCATATTGTTGTGATTCTGATGGCACACTGACACTCCTGAGACTTGCAATAAACTTTGCCCCGAATCAGAGGGTGAAGCTAACTACTTATTGATCAAATTAGCCATAAACATTTTAGAGGACCCGGGACATATAGAGAGACATGGGAAGTAGTATGGAGTGGCTTAGAAAGGTACATGGGCCCTTTTGGATTGAAGAAAGAGAGGGACAGGAGGTCACCGGTCACTTCTCTGCTACTTCTCTGATCATTCAGCTTCTTATCCCAATATCTGACTCCAAAGTTTTCAATAGTAATAGAATAATTTAGATCATCGTTACATCTGGCATCCAATGTGGCATTATTAAACCACACCAGGGCAGTGAACCTGCTACCTTTTTACTAGCAGATGCAGAGAACCCTTGGGGTGACTGTCCAGGCAGCTAGATATCTCTATCACTTCTATAGTTTTGGAAGTTGCTTGCTCTGCACTTCCCATTTACTCTGTAATATTATATCCTTCTCGGATCTCTGCTGGTGTCGAAGACTAGATAGCTATAGCTACAATTTTCTGTAGTTTTGAAAGAAAGTAAATTAGATGCAAAAATTTGAGCTCACCAAGATAGGATAGAAAATGGAATATTTTCTCTGAATTGTCAAATACTAATGGGCTGGACATTATGAATGAATTTTTACCTGATAATTGTTCTTGTTGTATATAGTTAAAACCTTCCCTTTTTATTTAGAGAAAAAAGAGGAAATATTTTATCACACACTGATACTCTCAAGGCTACCAATAAAGCTTACCTTGAGTCATGGGGCAGAACAAGCTACTAGCTCACCAAAATTAGCCATAGCAGTTTTGGAGGACTCAGGACATGCAGAGAGACACAGAATTAATATGGAGGGGTTTAGAAAAATACACGAGGGCCTTTTGGAGAGGGGAAGGAGAAAGAGAGGAGATCCCTGGTTGCTGTTCCTCCATTTCTCTGATCAATCAGATTTATCCCATATCTGACTCCTGAGTTTTTATTAATAGAATAATTTAGATAATCATTATACCATGCTAACAGGTATGAGGTAAAAATGTCATTATAATATTGACTTGTTTCTGTTAGCCCCCTATAAGATACTGGTTTGCAAGCATTTTCTCCCAATCTGGAAAGTGCCTTTCATTGTCCTGACAGCTTCCTTTTGCTGTGTGTGGTAGTTTGAATTTAATTGGCCCCACGATCTCATAGGAAATGGCACTATTAGGAGGTATGGCTTTGCTGGAGTGGGTATGGATTTGTTGGAGGAAGTGTGTCACTGTAGGGGTGGGTTTTCAGGTTTCCTATGCTCAGGATATCACCCAGTGCCTCAGTCAACTTCCTGTTGCCTGCTTAGCTACTACTCCAGCACCATATCTACATGCCACCATGCTCCCTGCCATGATATTAATGGACTAAACCTCTGAAACTGTAAGCTGCCACCCCAGTTAAATGTTTTACTTTATAAAAGTTGCCATGGTGTCTCTTCACAGCAATAGAAACCCTAACTAAGACACTGTGTGAAAGGTTTTCTTTTTCTTTTTTCCCCAGGATATAGTAACGTTTGCCTCTTTTTGTTTTTGTTGTCTTGAGTATTTATTGTCCTTACTAAAACTCTATCACAAAGAGTTATGTCAAAAAGCTTTTCCTTGCCGGGCGGTGGTGGTGCACGCCTTTAATCCCAGCACTCAGGAGGCAGAGGCAGGCGGATCTCTGTGAGTTCGAGGCTGGGCTGGACTGATAGCCTCCAAAACAATACAGAGAAACCCTGCCTCGTAAAAAAAAAAAAAAAAAAAAAAAAAAAGCTTTTCCTTTCAGAACTTTTAGACTTTTAGATCTTACATTATTAATTCACTTTGAGTTGATTTTTGCACATGGTGTAAGATAAGGATCCAATTTTACTCCTTAGCAAGTAGATACCCAAGTTTTCTTAGCATCATTTACTGAGAAAACTCTTCTTTCTGTACTGTCCCCTTTTGGTATCTTGTTAAATGTGATCTGACTTAGGATGGACATTCAGTTACTGTTGTGTGTCTGGTTCTATGCAAGTACCATATTGTTTTGATCATGATGACTTTGTAGCAGATTTGAGGACCAGTATACATGACACCTCCAACTTTGTTCTATTCGCTTAGTATTGCTTAGTCTATTCAAGGTCTATTGTGGGTCATGTGAATTTTAGGATTTTATTTCCTATTTCTGTGAAACGTATTATTGACATTTTGATGGAGATTGCATTACATCTATAGGTCATCTTAACAACAGTTATTTTTCTAATCTCTGAACATGGAATGTCTTTTTTCATTAATTAGGGTATTTGATTTCTTTTATTAGTATAGTTTTTGTATAAAGCATCTTTGGATAAATTCACTCCTAAGTATATTAATTTTTAATGTTAGTCTAGGTGAGAAATGTTTTGAATAGTTCATAGTTAGTATATGGAAATCATATTTATTTACATATTTTTAAACATTGATTTTTATATTCTGCAATCTTATCTGATTTGTGTATTGGTTCTAGCAGATTTTGGTGGAGCCTGTAGGTTACAGCACATGTCATGTGCAAATAGAAATGACTTAACATATTCCTTTCTAATGTGAACATTTTTTAAAATTTTCTTGTCTAACTTCCTGGCTAGGAACCCAGTGTAATGTAGAATTGGCCAGTTGGGGGTGTCATTGTATACCCCCTGACTGGATAATCAAAGCTTTACCCTTTTCACTACTGAGTACAGCACCAGATGTTAGCTAATTATGTATGAATTTACATAGGGTCTTAATTGTGTTATGTAACATGTCGTCTTCCCTCCAGCCACTTGGGTCCTGTTGCCACGTTAGCCCCCAAATAGCACACAGGACGCTGTATTAATTATGAAGCTATTGGACATTGCTTGATTTCTTGTTGTCTAGCTCTTACTTAAATATTAACCCATAACTGCTAATCTGAGTATTTCTATGTGGTCTTCCCTTACCGGAAAAAGGGTCCGGATCTCTTACTCCTCTGGCATCCTACATCGTAACTGACTGTGCTTCTGTTTCCCAGAATCCTCCTCGACTCCTAGTCCCGTCTATCTTGCTTCCCTATAGACCAACAGTGCTTTATTCATCAACATTTTCCCCCCCATCATCATTGGGATATGTTCCTTCTTTACCTCATGCATTCAATTTTAAATTGTTTTTGTTTTGTTTTAAAATTGTTTCTATGTAAAAGTTCCGGCAATCCTGAAACTCGCTTTGTAAACCTGGATGACCTTGAACTCTACCTCCTATGTGCTGGGATTAAAGGCACACCATGCCTGGTTTGACTTTCAATTTTTTTAAAGTTTTTTTATTTTATTTGTGTGTTTGCCTGTGTGTGTGTGTGTGTGTGTGTGTGTGTGTGTGTGTGTGTGTGTGTGTATCACATGTATACCTAGTATCTGAAGAGTCCAGAATAGCTTATTGGATCCCCTGGAACTGGAGTTACAGATCTTGTTGTGAACTGCTATGAGGATGTTTGGAACCAAGAGTAGAAGTAGTTTTTACTTCTGCAAGCGTAGCAACTGCTCTTAGCCCCAGAGCCATCTCTTCAGCCCACATTCAAAATACATCGCCCTAAAAAGTTGTTAAATTTTGCCAAGTGATTTTTCTGCATCTATTAATAAGATTATGTGGCTTCATGCTTCACTTGATTGATGTGGCACAGCCACATTTATTGATCTGTGTACTCGAGCCATCCTTGAATCATGGGCATAATGCAATTGATCCTGGTGACAGCCTTTTTCCGGTACTGTTGAATTTAGTGCTGGCCTTTTGCTGAAAATTTTTGCATTTGTATTCACCGGAAATATTGATCAGTAATTGTCCTTTTTCATAGAGTCCTTGTTTATAATTGGTACCAGAATAATGCTGGCCTTATAAATGACTTGGAAAATATTTTGTCCTCTTTAATATTTTAGAAGGGTTTGAGGAGGAATAATACAACAGTAAAGTCACCAAGTGCTGAGATTACTTTTGGGGTGGGGAACGTATATCAGATCCAATGTCTTTAACTGATTTTAATCTGTTTAGTATTTGTGTAAGTTATTATTACCCAGAATGTTTCCATTCTGGATGGTCCAGCTTGTTGGCACACCACTGTCCATAGTTTCTCATATTCCTCTGCTGGCTTTCATTTCTGATTTCATTTACTTATCTTCTCTTTTACTCTTGAACTCAAAGTTTGTTAATGTTTCCATCTTTCTGAACCGTTCAATCTTAAAAAAAAAACCTGTCATGTTAGTCTCTATTTCATTTATATCTATGCTGATATTTCTTATTCCCTACACATTTGGACTTTCTTCATTCTTTGTTTTCTTGATCCTTGGAGTTTTTGACTGACATTTGACTTGATACTCTCAATTTGGGGACCAGACCTGCAGCCTCAAATGTTCTAGCACTGAGATATACACTTACCCTTTGAGGTTCAACAGTCACTATCTGTGATCTCTTTGCTTCTTAACTATCTGCTTGTTAGGATAGACATCCTTCTTAGAACTACTTCCCATAAGTCCGGTATGTTCTATGTCCTTGTTTGCCCCACATTATTGATTTACCATTTGATTTTTAAATCCTGTGTCATTCAGGCCAGTGTTATCTGATGTCAACGTTTTTATGAATTTAATAAGTTTCCTCCTGATATTGAGTCTCATGCCACGTGGGGAGGGGGACAAACAACAACAAAACAAAACACCCACCCAGGAAAATACACTTGAAGTTTACTGATTGACACAGTCTCTAGCCTGTCTAGGGTGCTCTTTGAAATTCAACAGACAGACTTCTGTGGCTTTGTGAGCCTGGAGGACATTGTCTCCTCAGCACCAACCTTGCAGGTTCCTAGTGACCCCACTGCCTCTGGAAAGTCACCCCCCCAAAAAAAGTGTTTTTTTTTCACTATTTTCAAAACTTATGCCACGAGTTGGGGATGAAGTGTTCAATAAATGAGCCTCACAGTAAGTTAAAGAGCACAAACAAACAAATGAAAAAAAACAAGCAAGCATAAGCCTGTGAGGGTCCTTTCCTACTCAAGGCTTCAAGACAACTTTAATCACATACCAAAACACTGCACTTTACAACAGCTCCCTCCAGTCTGTGGTCTCAATGTCACATTCAATCATTATTATATTGTATTTCCCTCAGCTAAGTATTGTGGCTATAATTGTTTAGTTATAATAATAATACTAACAAATGAAAAACAAAATACAGTAAAAATTTTAAAGGCAAAATTCATTAAGGAAAACCAAGAAGTAAAAGAATTTTTAAAAAACAATAAAAAGCAAAAAAGTGTAAGAGTGAAGGATAGAATTTTTTTGTTTCGTGTTTTTGTTTTGTTTGTTTACAAAATAAGAAAAAGGAAAATCAGAGGGGAGAAAAGCAAAATAGACAAGGGTACAGGGGGAAATCTAAAGAAAAATACAAAAGGAACAAAGTCTTTTGGGTCACAAAATATCAGCATTCCAGATTCAAGGGGCTATAGCCCAGCTAGGGATTTTGTCGGTGACTGGGATTCCCTAATAGTAGGTCTTTAAGAGGCCAAAGATGGAAGAGAAGTGTGAGCCTGCTGAAATGGACTATAGAGTAATTGTGCTTGCTGCCAGGTCTGAACCTCTACATGATGTAAATTGTTCTCTGACCTCCACACACATGCTCTCATGTACATACACACACGCACACACACAAATGTTATTTTGAAAAGGAAATTAGAAAAGAGTTAATCATGGTTAGCAATAATTCACAGTGATTCTCTCTCTCCTTATCTCAAGAATCCTCTACATTCTAGAAAGTAAGAAAATAGGAAACCAAAGGGCATTATCTATGAGGACTGTGGCATTTAATACTTCCTGTGTTAAAATTAGAGTCCACACAATGCCTTAGTTCTTTTGCATTTCTAGCTTGAATTTTTTTCTTAACTTTTAAGTGGCTTAGCTTGCATACACCCCAAAGTAGCTCAGTTCCTTTCCTGAGTAGCTTGTTTCACAATGATGCCTGAATGTAACTGGCATGATGATATTACAGTGGGCATACTTATTTATCGTGGTCATTGGCGGTGTAACCTCAGCAGGTTGTGGAGCCTTCTTCCCTTTCTTTGTTACTGTTCTACCTTGAAGTGAGTGGTTTTGCTCTGCTGCTTATTCCTGCCCTGACATGATATCTCACCACAGACCCAAGAGCAATGGGTCTGGTGAGGGGCAGGCTGGACGTCCACAACTAAGCCAAAGTTGACCTCTTCTTTTTGGAAAGGTCAAAATCATAGGCTTTTTCTTTTTAGTAATGGAAATATGGCCATAACAATAGGTTTTGTCCTTCCTTCCATGGTTTCCTTGGAGAAATCTGATGTAATTTTCATCCTCATCCTTGTAGATAATCTGTCTTTTTTTCCTCTGGCTCCTTTTGAGGTTTTCCCTTTCTCTTTGATTTTCTTCTGCTTCTTCAGAACAAACCTACATGTATATACTTTTTATTTTTTCTGCTTCCTGTCTTGTGGGCTCTGTGGTGTGGTGCTTATTATTAAATGTAGGAAGCCCTCAGCTGTTATTTCTGATAATACTCATACTCTTACAGCTCATCACTTCTACCAATTTCTTGCCCTTTGCTGGTCCCATGATGTATATGCTACCCATTCTTTTCATTGCTCTCTGGTTTTAAAATATCAGCTCTCTGCCCTCTGTTCTTTCCCTCTTTTCTGATTAGAGATGTTTGCAATGATGTCTTTGAGCTTACCACCTTTCCCATTGATGAGCTCATTGATAGAGACAAATCTGAGTTAAATTTAAGGAAGCTTATTTTAGCACAAACATTTCTGGGGCAGCAATCCGGAACGTAACTGGTTCGGAATTCCTCCCATTTGGTTATATTTATAGTCTGAGGAAAAGAAATGATTTAACAAAATAACTGTTTGGCTATAGTCAACACTTGCCCTATATGGACATGGTATAGTCAATTGGTAGCCTGTGGTTGGCTGGAGCTAGACTATTATGATTGGCAGAGAGTGAGCTGTTACAAGAACATACTTCCAAGTTAGCTTACAGTTGATTTACACACTAAGGCTACACTTTGTTACACACAGAGATAATCAACACCTATTACTATCTTCCTGGGTTCTTATCACTATTATATAGTACTTTCTTTGTCATAGACTCACATGTTCACAAATATAGATGCCTGTGGGACTGTGGCCTACTGCCTCTTCTTGTTTCCTAATACTTACTATAAAACCTGTAACTTTATAGTAAGTGTCTGTATCCATAACATAATTCATCTATTCATTGCTAAGAATTATGGGGCCCTTTGCATCTCTCATAAAGCCTAGAATTGCATTGCCAGTTCAATGATAGTAACAGTAAGAACAGTGCCCATTTATGAACCTGGACTGGCGGAGATTTAATGGATCACAAGCGAGTCTATGAGTAGTGAACCCAACCCAGCAAATGTAAATCAGAGCTGGAAGGACTGCCTTTACTGCTGGTGGTAGAAACTGGTAACCCCAGGAACCTGGTAACCTATAAAGGATCTGAGGTTTTGTCCCACAACACTGGCTTATGAAGGTGTAAACACACTACAATTAACAGGTCAAAAGCTAGTTGTTTGTTGATAAATTTTAATTCCTTTTGAGATAAAGAAAAATGAGAGTCAGGCAACAGGGTCACTAAATGATTGAAAATGGCACTGGGGCGGCCAATCCAGAAACAGTGAATAAATTGATTTCTTTGCAAGATGTCTGAATGTGCTGAATGATGGTAAATTCATAAACTATGTCAGTTTCTGTGGTAGCAATTTGACAAGCACTCCCAACTTCTCTAGAAAGTTTGGCCTTGTCTTCCCAGCACTGCTATCAAGGAGGAGGCTTTCGCCACACAAGAGCCCACTTACAACATGACCCCATGTTATGAAGAGGACTAATGTGAGGTCTCTGCCTAGCAGAAAGAATAGTATCTGTTTGAAGAAATAGGATCCTTTCTAATGGGATTTCCCAGTGGCCATGTCAGAGGAGCAGTG